TTTCGACTTCTTGACATTTCGATTTTTCGATCATTTGTTGTTTCGATTTCTTAATATTTCAGATTAAACATTTTTGGATGTTTCGAGTTTTCGATTTCTCGGTTTTTCAATTTTTTGGCTTTTCGGCTTTTCAATCTTTCGATTTTTCAATTTTTGGATTTCCCAATGTTTCAGTTTAGTTATCGAATTTTTCAATTTCTGGATTTTACAGTTTTTCATTTCTATAATTTTACTATTTTTTGAATTTTCGATGTTGGATTTCTCGGTTTTTCGATTTTTCGACTTTTCGATTTTTTTAATTGTAGATTTTGGATTTTTCTGTTCTTCGATATCTTTATTCTTCGAATTTCAAAAATTTTTGATTTTTCAGTATTTTGACTGTGCAATTTTTGGATTTTTAAAATTTTTAATTTTTCGAATTTACGATTTTTTCATGTTTCGATTTCTTGACATCTCGGTTTATCGATTTTTAAATTTCGGGAATTTTTCAATTCCTGGATTTATCAATTTTTCGATTTTTTGATGTTTTGATCGTTTGATCTTTCTTGTTTTGAGTTTCCTATTTTTCAATTTCCCGATTTTTCATTTTTTGATTTCTTAATTTTCTGATGTTTCAGTTTTACGATTTTTCCATTTTTCAATTTCTCAATGTCTCGATTTATTAACTTTTTTCAGTTTTTCAATCCTTTAATTTTCGATTCTTCAATTTTTCAATTTTAGATTTTCTATTTTTTGTTATTTTAATTTATCAATTTTTAAACTTTTAGATTTTTCGATTTCCCGATTTTTCAACTTTTCAGTTCTTCGACATTTCCATTTTTCAATTTTTCGACTTTTTAAATTTTAGATTTTCCAGTTTTTGATTTTCGATATCTCAAACTTTAGATTTTTAGACTTCTAGGTTTTTCGGTTTTTCAATTTTTAAATTTTTAAATTTTTTCATTTTTCGATTTTTTAATTTTTCGGCTTTTAAAATTTTCAATATTTTAGTTTCTAACTTCATGATTTTCCGATTTTCGCCTAATTCGATTTTTCGACTTCTTGACTTTTCGATTTCTCGATCATTTGTTGTTTCCATTTCTCGATGTTTCAGTTCAGTCATCGAATTTGTCAATTTCTCGATTTCACAGTTTTTCGTTTCTATAATTTTACGATTTTTCAATCTTTCGATTTTTCGACTTTTCGATTTTTGAATTTTTCGATTTTTTGATGTTTCGATTTCTCGTTTTTTCAAATTTTTGATATTTTAATTTTTCAATTTTTTAAATTTTAGATTTTGGATTTTTCTGTTCTTCGATATCTCTATTCTTCGATTTTCAAAAATGTTTGGTGTTTCAGTTTTTTAATTGTGTAATTTTTGAATTTTTTAAATTTCAATTTCGGGAATTTTTCAATTCCTGGATTTAACAATTTTTCGATTTTTTGATATTTCGATTGTTTGATCTCTCTTATTTTCAGTTTTCTATTTTTCAATTTCCCGATTTTTCAATTTTTTTTTTAATTTTCCGATGTTTCAGTTTTACGATTTTCAATTTTTCAATTTCTCAATATCTCGATTTATTATTTTTTTTAATTTTTCCATTTCTCGATTTCTCGACTTTTCAATGTTGCGAGTTTTCAGTTTTTCAATTCTTCAATTTTCGATTCATCAATTTTTCAATTTTAGATTTTCTTTTTTTTTTGTTATTTTAATTTATCAATTTTTAAACTTTTAGATATTTCGATTTCCCGATTTTTCAACTTTTCAGTTCTTCGACATTTCCATTTTTCAATTTTTCGACTTTTTAAATTTTAGATTTTCCAGTTTATGATTGTCGATATCTCAAACTTTAGATTTTTAGACTTCTAGGTTTTTCGGTTTTTCAATTTTTAAATTTTTAATTTTTTTATTTTTCGATTTTTTAATTTTTCGGCTTTTAAAATTTTCAATTTTTTAGTTTCTAACTTCATGATTTTCCGATTTTCGCCTAATTCGATTTTTCGACTTCTTGACTTTTCGATTTCTCCATCATTTGTTGTTTCCATTTCTCGATGTTTCAGTTCAGTCATCGAATTTGTCAATTTCTCGATTTTACAGTTTTTCGTTTCTATAATTTTACGATTTTTCAATCTTTCGATTTTTCGACTTTTCGATTTTTGAATTTTTCGATATTTTGATGTTTCGATTTCTCGTTTTTTCAAATTTTTGATATTTTAATTTTTCAATTTTTTAAATTTTAGATTTTGGATTTTTCTGTTCTTCGATATCTCTATTCTTCGATTTTCAAAAATGTTTGGTTTTTCAGTTTTTTAATTGTGTAATTTTTGAATTTTTTAAATTTCAATTTCGGGAATTTTTCAATTCCTGGATTTAACAATTTTTCGATTTTTTGATATTTCGATTGTTTGATCTTTCTTATTTTCAGTTTTCTATTTTTCAATTTCTCGATTTTTCAATTTTTGATTTCTTAATTTTCCAATGTTTCAGTTTTACGATTTTCAATTTTTCAATTTCTCAATATCTCGATTTATAATTTTTTTTAATTTTTCCATTTCTCGATTTCTCGACTTTTCAATGTTGCGAGTTTTCAGTTTTTCAATTCTTCAATTTACGATTCATCAATTTTTCAATTTTAGATTTTCTTTTTTTTTGTTATTTTAATTTATCAATTTTTAAACTTTTAGATTTTTCGATTTCCCGATTTTTCAATTTTTCAGTTCTTCGACATTTCCATTTTTCAATTTTTCGACTTTTAAAATTTTAGATTTTTAGTTTTTTGATTTTCGATATCTCAGTCTTTAGATTTTTCGACTTCTTGGTTTCAGGTTTTTCGGTTTTTCAATTTTTCAATTTTAAATTTTTTTTATTTTTCGATTTTTTAATCTTTCGCCTTTTTTAAATTTTTTAGTTTCTAACTTCTCGATTTTCCGATTTTCGCCTAATTCGATTTTTCGACTTCCTGACTTTTCAATTTCTCCATCATTTGTTGTTTCCATTTCTCGATGTTTCAGTTCAGTCATCGAATTTGTCAATTTCTCGATTTTACAGTTTTTCAATTTTAAAATTTTACGATTTAAAAAATCTTGGATGTTCGATTTCTCGGTTTTTCGATTTATATTTATATTTTAATTTTTCATTTTTTTAAATTTCATTTATTTATGAAAATAAAAGGTCCGGTGTGAAATAAACTTGTGCAAATAAAAATATTACGTGAGGTTAAAAGTGCAGAGCATGGAAATTTACGTTCAATTAAAATTATACAACAAAGAAAACTACTGAGGTTAAAATAGTAAGATAGAGAAATATTGTATGAGATGAAAATTTCAAAGCTAACAAATTTACATGAGACTAATATTTGTCACACTATCAACGATTTAAACAAAGAATTTATATTATGTAAAATTATGTCTTGATTCAAGTGGTTGGTTACATAAAACAATTTGATTTGACGGTTTATAGCGTGAACTGCTTACCCTAAACAAAACACATGATAAACAAACACAAAAATATCCATTCAGCGTTGCGAGGAATAAGCTTCTTGGTGGTGTAAATTTTAGCGTTGCGAGGAAATGCCTCGGTGATGTAATTTTTGGCGTTGCGAGGAAATGCCTCGGTGATGTAATGATGATAACGATGATAACTGCCTAAGGGAAGAAATTATCTTAACCCCCTCGACAGTTCACGACATTATGAATTTTGTTAATTTAACTGCGGGTAATGAACTATTAGCAATTTTGTGTGAAGAATTAAGAAGAACACTTAAGTATTAGCATCCAGAAACCTCATTCGTAACTTGTAAACAAAGTGTGTTATCCTGGCTAAGTGAATTTCATGAAATCTCCTAATAAATGTATGTCTAAGCAAATCTAATGTCTGTTAAATTGTGTTAGAACCAGTTAACGATTAAAATCCTAACCTGATCGGTGAATTTACAAACAATAAAACAAATTTACAGCATGTGAAGCGTCGGTCGAAAATTAGATTATTAAATAAATTTTGCTTCATTTTTATGTATAAATATGTGTACATACAGAAACGTTCAACAAAAAACCCCAACGTGGAAACCGAATATTTTTTGGTTGCAACTTTTACCGCAACGTGTGTATAAACTCAAAACTCTTAAAACAGAATCAGGAAGGTGTTTAAAGTTCGCAAACTTAAGTTTTTGCACGTGTCGTCGAAACTGGGTAAGATATCTCAGTTTCCTTGGTGGATTATCGATCAGCTTAAAATCAACTTTCACCCACTTCGAACATTTTACAGTTCGTAAGATGACAAGACATAGTGATAATGAGGAAACAATGCCTTGCTTCGTTTACTCAGCACTTTCTGTTGGCTTTGTTGAAAATTATGTCAAGATTTGATTTTGCTGTGTTTCTAGCTATATGTCAACCGACATCGAAAAATAGAACGATGATTGATTACATCAGCTGAAAGTAAATAAGTTTTTGCTTCAAAAGCTTTCATTGTATATAGATTTAACTGATTTTCTGGCCATCCTGTTCTTGAAACCAAGCCCATTTGGCAAAAGTATGATGTTCTCAAAATCAATACTCGTATTATTTATTGCCCTCTGAAATTAAAGAAATATTCTGTATTCTGTTTGAAGAAGTCTTGCACCTCAAAACTTAAGTAGACGTAAACGGGAAGCCTACATTTTCGTATTCTCCGACGTGTGTAACGTTCCCAGAACACGAAATCGTCTCTCCAGCAAATCCCCCCAATCCAAATAAACGCACGCGAATCCGCCAAATCCGATCAATCTTTTCCGGCGAAAAATGCCGTCCCGTGATATTCTGTGACATTTTTCCGATCAGCCGCCCCCGTCCCTTCGATATTTTTCCGTAAATCCCCGTATAATGCGCAACTATCGATCCCCTCCCCCGTTCATTCATATTCAATCAATTACAATTACGGCCCTCATCCGTTCTCGGGCGAATCCGCCCCCGGCCCGTATGCAACCCGCCTTTCCCGCACTATCGATTGTCCCCGCTCCCGGCGGCGGCGGCGGCGGCAGCACGCAACCATTCATCTGGCCTAAATCCAAACAGTGCGCGCAGTGATAACCACAATGACAAAAGACAAGCTCGCGGCTCTCCAGGCCGCCCAGGACGACTCCGAGCCCGAGGACGTCTACGACCTGCCCGACAATGACCCGATGGAGGCCTTCTTCGGCGAGATCCAGGCCATCCGCGAGATGCTCAGCCGCATCGAGGAGTGCGTCAAGGAGGTGAAGGAGCTGCACAGCACCCTGCTGACGGCGCCCCAGAGCGACGCCAAGGACAAGCAGCGCCTGGAGGACCTCCAGGCCGAGATCAAGCAGAATGCCAATCGGGCGCGAAGCAAGCTCAAGCAGATCGAGCCCGAGGACGAAGTGGACACCTCCTCGGCGGAGACGCGGATGCGGATGACGCAGCACATGACGCTGTCGAAGAAGATGGTGGAGATCATGACGGAGTACAATAGGGCGCAGGTGGAGAGTCACTGCAAGTAGGGAGTTGCGGGGGCGTTACGCGGCCTGTGCCGGAGTAACGGCCCCCGTAACTCGTTAAGTTGCTAGTAGGTCGAGGAATGCCTGATGCGAACTAGTACGAAAGCCTGGTTACTTTTTGCATTACTTTCACACGGCCGGAAGTAGATAATTAGGTCAGGGCACGCCGACTTCGACGAGGAATGCGTTGGCTTCTTTCTTTCTTGCTTTCTTTTTGAGATTGTTTTACTCGCTTACGATTTTTTTCTTTTGTTTCTAAGAGGGTTCGATGAGGTAGTGCTTAGATAAAGGTTCTATAGGGTATGGATGGATGAATTGATGCGAAACTTGGCTCGGAAAATGCATGCGCCAAAACCATGTGCGTGCTGAAGGTTAAATGAATTCTATTTCGTCAACTGCTCGACGACTGTATCGCAAATCCTGGATTTATCCATACGCTTGCTGGCCAAGCTCTCTAAAACCTTTGAACCGCAAACACGAATAGTTCACTAGCTGGATGGTTACAGTGGTTGTGAAAATGACCCGAATTTCACTAATCATTAATCAGAAATGTGGGGTTACGGACGCAACAGAAAGCGAATATCGTTTCAAGAAAAGTTCAAATTTGCATGGAAATCTCTAGTAGTGCATTTTTACTTTTCCGTTTTTGCCTTTTCTAAAACTATTCACGTCACAAGTATAACCACAAATCGACAAATCAAACATTAAGGTTCAGATTTTCAGAAATGTGTCAAGGCTGAACAAAAAACTAGTGTACCAATGGCGTATTGAACACTACTAAATTTTCCGCCTCACTACTTCGTTTCAGAAGTGTCAAAACACTTAAAACGATCCTTCTTTGTCCTTTAACACTTGCCTTGAAAATAACCGCTTCGAATTCACAAATTTTATTTTGCTTTGCTCGCAATTTTGGCTTCTAAATTTTTTAAATCAATACTTCGCACATTTTTACAGTTTCGACTTTTTAATAAACTATCACGATGCCGTTATTATAAAGAACTTCAGCTATGTTGATCTTCTACAAACCCAGAATTCGCTGTTCATCTCAGAACAAGTACTCCACAACTACATTGAACTTTACATATGTGGCTGGTAATGATAGTCACAAACTAAAATACACTTTGAACATATACAAGGTCGCTGGAATGTGTGGAAACTGTTAAATATCTTGAGAACCAACTGTACAAATCAATTGAAATTACGTAAGTTACTACTTGAGCAAAACTTCGTCTTTTGTCATTAATAATTCTATGCGCTCAGTTTCACTTAGATGCACAATTTTTGCAAGAAACACCTTACATGTCAAATTAAAATTATTTTCAAAGGTAACTATGTCAGCTTTCCTTTTTATTTATTCTTGATTATCGTTTTATTTAACTCTTTCCTACAGAGTCTTTCATAAGCAAGCAATAGCCCCGCCCACCCACCCCCTCTTCATTCCTATAATTATTATATAGGTATGTTGCTCAGTCATTTACTAGTATCAACTATATTTTAAGAAATACTAGCTCCGCCCACTTGCTCTCTACTTGATTAGAGGGTATGTAATTTGCCACAATCAGTCTTATCTTAGCAATTATTAGCCCCGCCCACCTGCGCTGTTCTCATTCTAACGATTTTATTTCTGTTGAATGTAAGATCCACCTTCCATTGTGACCAGATGAAATGTATCACTGAAATGGAGACGGGGTGGGTGGGCGTCTTTTAGGCGGTTGAACAAAGAATAAGAAGCCTTAATCGTAAAATTTTTGAACATACTCTGCACTATTTTACCAACTTTCATGTATCCAGCGTAAATACTCCTAATACCGTTCCAAATCTTACAGTCATCAGCGGTGTGGAGTACCACAATGGTCGTTGCTCGGACCGCTTCTCTTTAATATATATAAACAACATCACAAAGAAAGTGACATCCAAGTGTGTAGGCAAACGATTTCATTTTTTTTTTTGAAATTAAAAATGTTATTTCGAAAAATTACAACGCAATCATCAAAAAACCTTTGAATGGTCTTAAAAAAATGACTTCATAATTTACGTTAGAAAATATTTTGCAGTGTCCCAGATCTTAAAACAGAGTCCAATTAATTTTGACTACAAGATCCTGAATGGCATCGTAGACGGATCCGAACACATGCGAAATTTAGGTGTTACATTTGATACAAAGTTAACTTTCACTCTTCATAATCTTTTTTCCTTTTGTTTGAGTTGTATGTTTAACTTATACTCCTATAATTTACTAGTATTTTTTAGTAACTCTGTAAATGAGCTATATTTGTTGAGTTACATACAATAATAATAATAATAATATGGGCGAATGGAGTTTAAAAAAGTAACCGCCACATCTGTACAAATCATTATTGAAAAAAATGGATAGGAGTATTTAAATTTATCATGGGTGGATTTTAAATGGGAAGTGGTGTTTTTTTATCAACCTGACTTAGTGAGAAATTGAATAAACAAGACGAAACCTCGGAATGAAATATATAAAAATTATCTTCTATTTATCTTCTGACTAGGTATTTCAATTTTGGGACTTTAAATTACTTCGACTTTTAAATTTTTCGATTTTTTGACTTTTCGTGTTTTTGATTTTTACACTTCCATTTCTCAATTTTTCAATTTTTCGACTTCTCGATCTTTTGATGTTTCAATTGGCGATTTTTCAATTTTTCGATTTCGATTTCTCGATATTTCGTTTTCTCGATAATTAATCTCCTCAATTTTTCGATTTTTTAAATTTTCAATTTTTGGCGTTTCTGGATTTTTGGATCTTTGGATATTTCAGTTTCTGGATTAATCGATTTTTTAACTTTTCAACATTTAGATTTTTCGTCTTTCCGATTTCTCGATTTCTTAATTTTTCGATTTCACCAATTTTCAATGTTTAAGTTTTGGGATTTTTCAATATGTATTTCGATTTTTAAATTTTTAGATTCTTCGACTTTGTTTTTTTGTTTTTTTACATTTTTCGATTTTTCAATTTGTTGGTTTTTCGATTCGTTGATGTTTTGATTTTTAGATTTTGTAAATTTTCAATTTTTCGTTTTTCTAAATTTTAGTTTTTTCATTTTTTTGTTTCAATTTGTCAATCTTTCGAATTTTTGCCTTCTCGTTCCTAGCTTTTTCGATTTTTCAATTTTTAAGAATTAATTTTCAGTTTTTCGATATTTCGATTTTTCAATTTTCGATTTAACGGTTTTCTTTCGATTTTTCACCTTATCGTCTTTGGATGGTTCGGTTTTTCAATTTTTCGGAATTCATTTTTCAGTTTTTCGATGTTTGAGTTTTTACTTTTTCGGTTTATCGTTTTTTATTTTAATTTCAAATTTTTCAACTTTGAATTTTCCTATTCTTCGATGTTTAGCCACTTCCATTTCTGAATTTTTCGATTTTTCGACTTCTCGATATTTTGATATTTCATTTGATATTTCAATTTCGGTACTTTCCAATTTTTAGATTTCGATTTCTCGATTTCTCGGTTTTTTGATAATTCTTTTCAATTTTTCGATTTTCCAATTTTTCAACGTTTCAGTTTTAGGATTTGTGTATTTAAATTTAATTTTTCGATTTTTCAATTTTTGGCGTTTCGAGATTTTTGGATTTTCGATTTCTCAATTTCTGGATTAATCAATTTTTAAATATGTATTTCGACTTTCCGATTTCTCGACTTCTCAATTTTTCGGTATCTCAAATTGTCAGTGTGTAAGTTTTGGGATGTTTCAATCTGTATTTCGATTTTTAAATTTTTCTATTTTTCGACTTTGTTTTTTTCATTTTTCGATTCGTTGATGTTTTGATTCTTCGATTTTGTAAATTTTCAATTTTTAAGAATTAATTTTTCAATTTTTCGATATTTCGATTAATCAATTTCCGGTTTAGTACCAGTTTTCTTTCGATTTTTCGCCTTCTCGTATTCAGATTTTTCCGTTTTTCAATTTTTAAGAATTAATTTTTTAGTTTTTCGAAGTTTCGATTTTTCACTTTTTCGAAGTTTCGATTTTTCACTTTTCCGGTTTATTGGTGTTTTTAAGTTCCAATTTTTAAATTTGAATTTTCCCATTTTTCGATGTTTAGCCACTTCCTTTCCTCGATTTTTTGATTTTTCGACTTCTCGATCTTTTGGTGTTTCGATTTCGCGATTTTTCAATTTTTCGATTTCGATTCTCGGTATCTCGTTTTCTTGGTTTTTCGATAATTCATCTCTTCGATTTTTCGATTTTCCAATTTTTCAAAGCTTCAATTTTGGAACATCTGTATTTAAATTTTTCGATTTTTTCAATTTTTCAATTATTGGCGTTTCTAGATTTTTGGATTTTTTGATTTTTCAATTTCTGGATTAATCGATTTTTTAACTTTTCGACTTTTAGATTTTTCGCCTTTCCGATTTCTCGATTTCTCAATTTTTCGATTTCACAAATTTTCAATGTTTAAGTTTTGGGATTTTTCAATATGTATTTTCATTTTTAAATTTTTAGATTCGTTGATGTTTTGATTCTTAGATTTTGTAAATTTTAAATTTTTCGAATTTTTAAATTTTAGTTTTTTCATTTTTTTGTTGTTTCGATTTCTTAATATTTCGAATTTTTGCCTTCTCGTTTCTAGCTTTTTCGATTTAACGGTTTTCTTTAGATTTTTCGCCTTCTCGTCTCTAGATCGTCCGGTTTTTCAATTTTTCAGAATTAATTTTTCAGTTTTTCGATGTTTCATTTTTACTTTTTCGATTTATCGTTTTTTTTTAATTCCAAATTTTTCAATTTTTCGACGATCTCAATATTTTGATATTTCAATTTCGGGATTTTCCAAATTTTCGATTTCGATTTCTCGGTTTTGTGTTAATTCATCTTTTCAATTTTTCGATTTTCCAATTTTTCAACGTTTCAGTTTTAGGATTTGGGTATTTAAATTTTTCGATTTCTCAATTTTTCGGTATCTCAAATTTTCAGTGTTTAAGTTTTGGGATTTTGCATCTGTATTTCGATTTT